TTCAACTAAAAGCTCATCCAACCCCCTACTTTCCCTTTCAACCCAACCTCGATTCTTTCTCAGGTATGGAAGACTATTGCACGTCCAAAGGTGCAAACCTTCAACTAGATCGCAGGTTCCATCAAGGTTCTCACTATGGATCACCTACAAAGGAAAGGAATTCCTATTCCCAATAGGTGCATCATGTGCTTGAGCCAAGAGGAATCAAATAACCATATGTTTCTGCATTGTAATGTGGCCCATGATCTATGGAGTCTACTACTACAACTGTTCGGGGTGCATTGGGTAATACCTCAAACTGTTATGGACCTCTTCGTTTTGAACTTGGATGCGCACTGGCGGAAGGCGAGTAGAATCCTATGGAAAGCAACAGTGGCAGCAACTATTTGGACCATTTGGAAAGAAAGAAATGCCCAAATTTTTTGGGGACAGGTTCACCCTGGCCCCTCGATTTTTTTTAAGGTTACATCCTTGGTTACCTTCTGGGCGTCAAACCATCTCTGATTCAACGGTATCCCTATGGGCGCCTTCCTCCCGAATTGGGAGCATATTCTCCTCCACAATCCGAAGAAAAACAAAGTTAAACCTGCATAGAAACCTCCTCCCCAAGGAGCTATCAAACTAAATTTTGACGGCTGCTCTTTAGACAACCCAGGCCACACAGGTGCAAGAGGGGTTTTTAGAGATCACCATCAAAACATTCGCTTCTTCTACTCTGAATACCTCGTCATCCAAGATTCGCAGTTTGCCGAATCTATGGCCCTCCTTAAAGGCAAACAAAGTTTTGATCGGTCATGAGGGCAGTCTCTTTCAGTGGAGGGTGACGCTAGAAACATTATCTCTTGGGCTTCCAGGACAACCTCTCCCCCTTGGTATCTTGTGCCCATTTATCATGAGATTGAGCATCTTTGCAGGGATACGCCAGTCTTATGGATGAATATCTCAAGGACGTCGAACGGGCTCATCGATCTGCTAGCTAAGGACAGAGCCATGGCCCATGTTGAAGAATAGGCCCTACCGCAGCTAGTTCTTTGGGTCGGGCACTAAGCACGCACTCTACTTTTTTGCTTTACTTTCCTTTTGTATCTTCTTTGTACATTTACAAATTATTGTGCAAGGGGATAATCTTATAACCCCATTTTATATAGGGTCGGATGACCTATTCTTTTTACCAGGAGTCTCAATACTAAGGTACTCTTGGATTAACCTTCATCTCTTGTATTCTTCTTTTTTCAATACAAAAGTTAACAGTTATCAAAAAAACAAAAAGGAGATTATAGAGAGAAAATGGATAGGCAGCTGCATCGGCCATTGCATGTAGTTGGGTACTATTTAAACCCGGGTTTTATACTGACCAAGATATTGAGACGAAGAACACAATGATGGAGGGCTTTAGTGAGGATCATGATAAGCTAGTTCCTGATAAAGATATCTAGGATAAAATATCGGCGAAGGCATTAAATTTGGGAAGGAAATGGTGGTGAGACCAAGGACCAAATCATTGGGAAGGAAATGGAAGCGAAACAAAAGACAATATCTAATATAATTAATCTATCAATATGATTCATTTCTTTCCTATTTCAACTTGCATAATTCATACTTTTATATAACATTATAGAAAACAAATTATAGACTTATATTGATTGTATATAATTTGTTAGAGCCAACATGAGAGTAGTGCTCCAAACTTACAAGGATGACCATCTGGTTATTGAGGTTAACATGCAGCTCATCTGGTTTTGATCGCAATTGGAGTTCATTTGAGATGCTAAGTTGGCAATTTGTATTTAGCAAAGAGTATAATCATTTATATTTCTTAATTCATATCAATATTGCTATATTTGTAGTCAATTATTAGTGTATTACTATTAATTAGTTTAAAATAATATTCTTATATTAAGTTATAGTTATTAAACTCCATAAGTATACTATTAATCTTTTATAGATTTACAGTAATACTTAGTTCTCTGAAGTCTAAATTCAGCTCATGCATTTTCCTACCGGTGTATACAAAGGAAAAGAACATACTTGAGCAAAAGAGGCTCAGTGATTTACTCTTTGTCAAGTATGACAAAAGGCTAAAAGAGCATGTCAATGAGCATGAGAAGAGGGATTCCATTGCATCCAAAGACATGGATGATGCCAGTAAGTGCTTGGATGTAGACCCTGGGAATAAAGAAGTCTTCCCTGTTAGGGGTTTGACTTGGGATATGGTTGAGGAGGCTTCAAGAAAGTTTTCAATCTTAGAGGAGGAGGACTATTAGGAAGTTGAGGTGGGCCATTATATTAAAATGATGATTCTAAAAATAATTGCCCAGAATTGGACGGCGATCACCGAAAAGAAGCCCATGATAACAAAGAAAATGGAGATTGAAGCCTGAATTCTTCTTAAATTTCTTTTGCATCTTTTTTGTAATTTCTTCTTAAATTTGACTATATCGCGGTTTGGAACTTCAGACTTTGGATTTTCAATTATATCTATAAACTATGGAACTGTGGTTATTTATTTGAGTACCTTATGGTAATGTTGTAAAACACGGAGTCAGCCACCTAGGCAGCCATGGGTCTTGGCTGCCTAAGCAACTCTTGCTCACCTAGGTGCAAGCCTCATGATTGGGGCACCCCAAGGGGCGCGGGATATGGGATGGGTTGTTTATGTGGCACAAGGAGGTTTGCTTTCTTATAACCTACTCCTTTCCCATAATTCACTTCATTTGAAATGGGTCCTCTCACATTCACACCTTTGATCCTAGTGTCTGATTCCTTTGAACCTCCAGTCTTACTCCTTTACCATTGCTCTGCATCTCCATCCCCATACAGTTTTCTTATGGCAGGGCCTAATTCATAATTCCTCTCTTCTCCCCTTCCTCATTGAGCTCAATACTTCTGTTTGAATGAATATGTGCCTTGCCTCAGTTTCTGTTCATTGCTCATCATCCAGCCCCCTTGGTTCTACTGCTCTTTGATATTCAAGTTGGTGTTCCGGCCTTATTAGAAAAATAAGGGCTCCATTTTCATCTACCCTTGTCGCCCAATGTCATTCCCCACCACCCAATGTCCAGCTTCAAATTTGTTGCCAATTGGCAACCAACATTCATTCCTCAATCTGTTGATAGTTGGCCCAATTTCCTCCACATAATCGTTTCCTGGCTCTTTCTTAGTCATAGGATCATTTCTTCAGACGTTCATCTCAGCTTCTTTTAGTCAGTGGAAGAGAGCCTCGTCCTCCATGACATGTGTCCGAGGCAGTAGTGGCCTTCTCCGATCCTCACAGATTGCATTTACCTTCATTTATTCGAATTCAAATTTTAATTTTAATTTGAATTAATATGAGATACTTTCATGATTTGAAGGACTCGCAGATGCTTTTGGAGTCAGTTGGCATCCGCTGATCTGGCCTCTGTAGGGTAATGTGATTGCAAACCCCTAAATTAATGCATACCATCTATTTGTTGCCATGCGGCCTAGCCACTACATCATAATCTTCCTGGCCAGTATCATTGTTCATCGTCTGTCTGAGTTCCCTCCATCCATGGGTTCCTCATCATGTTCCTTCTTTTCCAGCCACCTGGACAGTTGTTGAGTCGACAACTACCCAGGCTTCATCTTCTTCCACCTTGGTATCAACCGCCATCTTTGCACTGTTTGCTCATTATTCGGAACCACCAATCAACATTTGTCCCTATAGCTTATGCTTTCTCCTCTGTGAACTAGATCTTGTCCTCATTGCCATCAACCACCACAAAAACATTATTCAGATGCTGTCAAGTTTCAGTAGACTCCTGCAGCCGCACAACATCAAAGCATTCCCCCACAATGGTCTCCAAATCTATTGTAACCGAATCTGGATTAGATCTTTCCAATAGTCCCAAAGATTTCATACATCCGCGTATGTAGAGGAATCTCCTTGATTCTCATCCAGGATAGCTTTGGCTTTACCAATGAAGTCTCCATTTAGGGCTTCGAACGGGCTAGTGTAAGAAGATCTATGCACAGAATAAAATGCCTTTATGTTTCTGATTGTAGAAAATTCACCAGAAAAGTATGCGCTCTTAATGACAGACATGCACAAGTAAAAACTAAAAAGCCACCATAAGCATGCACAGAAATGTAGCCTCAAAATAAAGAAGTGTATTTGAATTTCAATGAGACGAGGAGGAATCATATATGGAGAGCCCAGATAGATAATGAATAAATCCTTCAATATGCTTCCTTTAATAAGTGATAAAACTTCCAAACTTGTCCAACCATACAGCAAGTTACTTTCAGTAATTACACAAATCTGCAACTTTGGTGCAATTGTTCTATGGCTTTGGTCTTCTAGTCCAGTGCTGTTTTTCTTTAAATGGTTACAGTTCTTCCTATCCCATGTTTAGTTATACAAAGTTATTTGGTACAAGAGCCAGATAAGTTTAGCTCATAGCATTTATGCCATGCATTTCTTCTGCTTTGCAATAAAGGAGCATCACGAAAAAACTTAATTTTGTTGGTCCAATTGACCTCTATAGAAAGTAGATGCTAATAGAAATTTGCTTCGTTAACAAAGAGTCTAATCGATGAGCATAAGACATAAATAAAAATTAAATAAAAAGAAAAATAAATGTTTGGTCATTGTATTAAGTGAACTACAAGAAGTACTACACTACGAAACACCACTAAGCATTTCAACCTCAATCATAAACAGTGTCCACAAAGTATGCTTCTCGTTCATGGTTACAATACAAATGACTATTCATCCATCCAAATTAAAAAAACTCAACCGGAGCAGCTCAAGAATGATCTAGATACTGCATTTCAACAAAAACAGAACCATGAGATGAGGCATCTCACATGCATGAATATAAGCCACTATATTTGATAATATTCCTAGAAAAAGATCATGAGAATACATTTGCATCCAATGCTAAATATTAATGTCACCATAATACACTAAGAAAGATCTCATTGATGATATGAATAATAGATTTTCTAATAGCTATGAATAAGAAAATAAAGCATACCCATTCACCGGGGCAAAGCGAGCGATAGTACTTAGCAAACTTATCACATTCGTTGGCACCTTCCCCTTTTGCTGCTATGCACCTGATAATGCAAGAGTGGTTGCTACTAGTGAATAATGTCTGATCTTGACTCAAGAAGACATACTTGGCCAACTTCACAGCACTAGCTTATAATGGTAAAATCAGGAGATGAGACCAAAATCATATAATCACTACTTGTTGACAGAAAACCATAAACCACCTGTGATACTCGATATAACGAGTAAAGCAATGCCTTGTTTGATTTGTTGTAGGGAAACGGAAATCTGCTGGAGCTGTTTCAATCTGAAAGATAAACGTTATTTGATAAGTGGAACTTAAATATAAATGTTAAATTTTACACATATAAGAGCTTAAGTGCCAGAGAATATGATTGAATTTTCAAAAATATTTGATCGATGTCTATCAAAACCTTGATGACTGGTGGCTGTTCGGTATCCTCTTGCTCCCCAGATTCTTCTTGTTCTTGCTCCTCAGATTCTTGTTGCTCAGGGGCTCCACTGCTTTCCTCCGCAGCAGCAGTTTCAATGTTGTTTTCTTCACTCACTTCTTCAGGTGCATCTGTTTGATTTTCATCAACACTTGCTTCTGATGAAACTTCTTTTTCCTGTTGTTCCTCTTTCTCCTACAGTATGAATTGCAAGTGTGCTCATAAATTTCAGTTCAACTCAATATGCATACATTGAGTGGTAAAATTTTGCAAGGATCTGTTTGCAAGCCAATATAATGTGTGTGCTAGTATTACAAATAACCATGAAGAAGACGAAAAGAAGAACATCTGAACTATTCATACAGCATACAGGTTCTGAAAATTAATCATGAAGGCCAGAAACATGCATGCTAGAATTATTTGACATAGACCAATTTTCCAGGGTGGTTTCATAAGGAACACTTCATGCCTTTTGAAACTGCTGGTGGTATTAAACTATTAATACCATTTCTCCAGGTTTCTTCTGCACTCTTTGTAGTATAACTTGATGTATACTCACTAATGCTCCAAATATGGCCGCCTATAGCATCTAAGTACGAATCTCCTTCTACATAAAAGGGGTGGTTTACACTGCTCCAACCATAGTTTACATGCAATTAGACTTTGATGGAAGTAGCATGGGGGCATGGCATTTTAAAATTTAAAGACAAGACACATTTGGAGAAAATCAAGGGAGTAATCTTTTTTATTGTGTGGTGATTCTTAGTTTTGTTGATTTCATAATCCGTCTGGTATGCAACTTATCAGCAAAGATTACAGAATAACTCAAATAATTAGAATACTGCAGATGAATTGTATGCATACAGATTATATTACATGGATCATAAAGGCAACAAAGCCGTTAGGGATGGTGTGGCCATCTAGAATGAAAAGGCTTTCTAAGAGATTGTTTTGCTGGCCGTAACTCCTAAGAACCACATGTAATGTTTTGATTATTTACCGCAATTCTTTTTCAACTTATCCAAAAAAATTGGAAAAGGTCTCAACAATTACATGCTAAAGGCTAACGCATCTAAAGCATATGTCATAGATTAGTAGCAGTACATCCTAAGTGAATTTTGAAAACCAGAGAGGACAAAAGTTGCGCATTTACACTACACAGATTACTCATTTAGTGTCCTAAGAAAATGATCCGCAGCTTACATTTTCAAACAAAAGCAACACATTCCCATCAGCATGACATCAGCTAGTGCCAATCATTAAAAAAATAAATGAAAAAAAGAAAAAAAACGATTGTGGCATTTTTTCCCACTATTCCTAATTCTATCAAATAGGTTTCTGCAATAAAACCTGACAATACCTTGTATTTATCCATATTAAAAATGATAATTTTCAAGCATGAAAACCCAAAGGCTTATGAGACCTAGAGCACCAAACTGCCAGTAAGTTAAGTGATAAAGGGAATTAGTAAAGGGCACCTGTACGTACTCGTAAAGGAATGGAATTAAGTGAAAAATGACCACTATCATTGATCAGTCATGCAGGTAATTGGCAGAGAGCTTCTGCATTGCAATTGCATGAAATTGAATCCAAAATAAAGAATGAATTTCTTTCCAAAAAAAAAAGCCAGTCATCCCTAGATTGTTCACCTCAGATGAGGCCAGCACCTTCAACCAGGCTATCTTTATTCGACAACTAAAAAAAGCCGTTTTCTCTGGTACCCATGCGTTGCTGAAATGGAAATGCAGGCTATGGAAGGACAAATTCCCACAAGAAAAGTTCCACATCAGTTAATGGATCGACATTGTAACTTTGACCCAGATGCTTGATTCCCATTAAGAGCATCAATCATTAGCAAATTCAAGAATGGATTTTTACAACAGGAAATTCCCCTGAGTAAAATTCGTAGATCTCCAACAACCGTTGTGAATAGCTTCTACTTGTAAAATATCAATGCCACAAAAAGGGAAAAAAAAATAAAAACAAAAAATCAAAGCTTTGGATCGAGTGTCAGTGCCCAAAAGGATCATATGCTAAATAAACAAATCCTCGAGCATGAACATCTCATACAAAAGCTTGGCAGAAGAATCGGAGATCGCCATAATGCTTGACGAGCTATGCAGAAGAGACAGAGAGAGGGGAAAGGGGAAAAGGGTAAACCTCAGTCATGGTGGCGGCCGTCTCTTTCTCCACTTTGGCCATTGTCGACGGGGACTCGAAAGCTTAGCGTTCTCCTCTCTTCGTTCTACAGCGACCAAACTTATGCGAAAGAGCAGAGGATATGGAATCCCAAAAGCCAAGAAAACCTACTCCGCAGTCACATGTGAAGACTCTTTTACCGAGTTTATTTCACGTTCGGGTTCCTGTGACGCGACGCGGCTGGAGAGAGAGCGCACGCAATTGGCGCATACCGTTCTTGAAGCCCACCTCTTCGCCCTCCCACCAAATGACACATATGCATAAGACTCGTGCGTTTATCATGGTCTGGCGGAACCAAATTGTACAACTGGTCACTTCACTAAAACTCCAAGGGATTTGTGTAAAACATTTTTTCAGTCACAAAGTTCGAGAAAGATTTCTTTTTGGAATCTTGGGTCTACTTGATGACACTGTTACAAGAACCTATTTTGCAACTTAAGAGAAAAAAATTGTTGTGACATCTATTTACCAAAGATAAATGGTCTCTTTATAGACAATCCCTATATCAATTATCTAAAAATGGGACTTCAACTAATAATTTTTTAGATTTAACATCCGCGCATTCAATCCTGGAGTGGAATTTGATTATGGCACCATGTAAATCTCGACCTCCATTTTCTTTAAACTATATCTATATCGATAGTATATAAAGCACCATGTGGTTTGTAGATGACGTGGGCCTAAAGAAATTGTTAGGAGGTTAAGAGCATGGTTCAGTGTAAATATTGTAAAAAAACACCATGTGGTTCGTGGACCACATGGCCGAAAGAAAATTGTTAGGAGTTTAGGAGCTCGGTGAATAATACAAAAACATCAAACTTTATCATATAAGCCGATAATACGACATAACATAACATACAAACTTCAAATGATCTTATGCTCCATTAGGAACACGTTACTTAGGCGAGAAATCATTTATAAGATTTTTAAAAGCTTGGAAATTAATTGTGCCTATGAACAACACCTATGTGTGAATTAAACTAGATCACTAAATGAGAATGGGGTTGGGTCATGATGGCACCAGGGGTGCCCCAAGTAAAGTCTAGGCTTCTATTCTCACCTAACACATTAAACAACCATTAACGATTTCAAAAAACACGTCGGAGCTCGTCATCCCCTCTGAATTACCCAAAAAAAAAAAACAATGTAGATCACTAAATTTTAGCTCTTTAAAACACTTAATAGTCCTCTGATATAAGATATTCAAAATATAAGATAATTATATAGTATGCTCCGATAGAAGTATGTCATACAATTTTCTCATCCAACAACTTCTCACCTTTGTACCATTTTTTGTAACACCACGTATGCACATAGTATAATAATTACTATAGGAAAAAGTTTATATAAATGCGATGTTCTTTCTTCTTTTCTTTTTTGTTTTGACAATGTTCCATAATTTATTAAGGAGAAAGAATTACAAGGAATTCATACAATAAAAACATTCGAAATTACCAAAGTCTGCAAAACAACACCTTTTTTAGCCAACCTCGTTACCCTTCCTATACACATGTTGAAAAGTCACATTCATGACACGCACCAAATCCATGATCTCTATCCACCTGATCGCAATTTCCCTGAGAATCTTGTTATAAGGTTACACTAATTAATAACATTCAAAGAATCCCCATTGACAATGCATGAAAATTGAATACAACGTTCCTTGATGATTTTCAAACATTGAAGCACCGCTTCATTAGTAGTTGTAATTCAACATGGGCCTACAAAGCAAAATATCGTCTATCGGACTATCATTACAATTCATCTTGATGCACTCACCAAAGGAGCCACCCAATGCCCTATGGGTCTCAATTTAAGCACCCTTTGCTCCATAAAGTTAATAATATTCACTTCTAAATCAACTTTAAAAACATTGAAACTTCCTTTGTAACCAAGTACCGGCTCCATAAGGTATGCAATGTCCTCTTTTGAATCACTAAATTGTCAAAGATAATCCCCTTCAAAAATCCTCATATTCCTTTCAAGACAGACCTCTCGTAAGTGTGCAATTGTTCCAATCTGGAAAATCATACTCTCTATTAGTGAAAATCGATGGAGCACGTGACCAACTCGAGATCAGAGAAGAGATGCCATGAAGCTGATAATTGCATAACCTAGATTTTTCTTGCCCTTTTGAGATAGCGTAGAGAAGTTATTTTTAATTACAGATGAAGCTCTGTGTTTCTTTCTTCTCGTTGCTTTCTTCCTCTCTCTGGCTTCCTATTTTATAGGAAGAAGAAAATGGCTTAATGGTTATCTTTCCAACAGGTCTTTGAGAAAAGCGTCTTCCCTGATCTTAGGAATATTCATCCAATGTTTATATAGTTGTTACTTCATGTGAACGTTGAATGTGATAACCATAGGATTCCTCCCACAATTGTAGGCAAAGTCACGCTAGGCCTTATGGCCATACATGTTAATATCTCCCACTTGGCCATGATGGCCGAGCGTAATAATAAGTCACATGCATACTCCCACTTTTGAGTATGACCTTTAAGAAAATTTATTGTCATGAGGTTTTTTCACGCTTTCACCGATATGCCTCTCATGACAAATGTCCATCATGAGGATTTCACTATAATACGGATTTGTCACTCATGAAAATTGACTAACTTAAATATTTTTAAGTCTTATTAAGGTAGTGTGCTTAGACAGTAGCTCAACACTTAGACCCTTTATCAATGGATCAGCGATCATATCTGATGAAGGCAAGTAACTAACGGTTATGTCACCTTTCTCAACTACATCCTTAATGTAGTGATATTGAACATCTATATGTCTTCCTTTGGAGTTATTTGCTCCACTTTGAATTAATTTAATTGCAACTTGATTATCACAGAATATTTGGATCGGTCTATCGACTATTTACAGCTTCAACTTATTTATGAAGCGCTTTATCCAGATGGTAAAAGTACAAACAGTGCTACATATAATGTATTCTGCTTCTTGTGTGTACCTAGCTACACACCCTTATTTTTTGCTAGATCAAGAAACAGCTACCCCTCCAAAGAGGAAAATATGTCATGAGGAGGATTTACTATCATCCTTATCCCCAGCAAAACCTTTATCTGAACATCCTACAACTTCAAGCTTATCTGCTTGAAAATACAATTTTAGATGCTTTGTTCCTTTAATGTACCTCAGAATTCTTTTTACTGTTTTTCAATGAGTTATGCATGGATTACTTTGATATCTACTAACAAGGCATACGACATAACTCAAATCTGGTCTTGTACATCTTACTGCATATACCAAGCTACCAATAGCTTATGCATAGGGAATATTAGGCTTTTCTTTGCCTTCTACGAGACAATCCTTCCTAAACAACTTTACTCTCTTTTCAACTGGAGTAGATAATGGTTACAATTTTCTATTTAAAATATTTTAAGAACAGAGTCAATATATCTCTCTTGGCTTAAGCACGACATATTTGATTTTCTATCTATAGTTATTTTTATGCCTAGGACATAAGATGCTTCTCTCATATCTTTCATCTCAAATCGAGAAGAAATTCATGACTTAGTTTTATCAATCATTTTTAAGTCATTTTCAGCTATCATGATATCATATACATATAATGAGAGTATTGTGAATTTACTCCCACTCTTCGAGACATACATGCAATGGTCCAATCTATTTACTTCATATCCCATATGTAGAATGTCATCATGAAATGTTAAGTACCATTGTCTTGAAGATTGTTTTAAACCATATAAAGATTTATTTGATTTATATACTTTAGTTTCTTGACCTTTAATTATTAAGCCCTCAGGTTGCTTCATATAGATGGTTTTCATTAGTACACCATTCAAGAATGCAGTCTTTACATCAATTTGGTAAAGTTCTAGGTCATAGTTGTTTGAACATATTTTTTAATCTTGGGTCCCCGATGCAGAATAAAAAGATAAGCCGGTCAATAAATCCTAATTACAGTGGAATTCTCAACAGTCTCAGAATTGCCTTATAAGGACTTCAAAATGCTACCTGCCAATTTTCGTCGCAATTCGACATGTCTAAAGTAGTGTATATAAAGAAACAATTTCGGAAAAATCAATCTCTAGCATCCTGAAACAGATCCCGTAACTAGAACTCTATTTTCGGTGCATCAAATTGCTGTGGGATCACCGCCATTGGATCCGACACGGTCGAAAACCCCTAACGGTCAAGTTTCGGCTTGATCGAGCACTCTAAGACAAAGTTCTGGGTAAAAGACCGAAAAAAGATGGGTCGCACACTATTCCCGTGCGGTCTCGTTGCACCAAATCACCATTAAAGGTGACTGTTTTTACAGTGTCGAGTAGTGATTTTTGGGAGTCATATCTCACTCGTCTTGAATTAGATCACGCTCAAATTTTGTAAGCGTGTTCGTCTCATTAAGAAGAGCATTTTAATATGTGGCACGTCCCGTGACGATGCCCGAGCAGGGATAAAAGCTAGAGAGAAGTCTATGATTTGTGAAGGAAGTTGCAGGAAATTCAGCAGCGACACGTCTCCCTCGAGCGGCCATATCACGGTGCTCGCACATCGGATTGACACGAGACCAGTTTCATCACGTGTGTAAGGTCCAGGGCTACAAAACCCCATGCGTGATGAACAATGGGATGTTACGCGTGAAGCTGATAAAGTTGCTGTAAATTTCGGCTGTTGGAATTCATATTTCGACCAAAAACCCAAAACTGTAAAATCTTCATCCGAGCACGAACTCTAGCTACGTTTGTTGCCACGCAATCATGGCGGCATGCTCAGTGCAATACAATGAAGAACTTACCAAAAAACATCAAGATACGAGTACACTATCGATCCAAAGTTTTAAGATTCATCAGAATTTCAAGTCGCATGATCGTGGCCTAAAAACACGATCTGTGGCTCGAAGTTGGTATCAAATCGATCGATATGACAAGCCCTACAAGAAAATCAATCATCTTTTTATCAAACGGGCACCAGAGCTACCCCGGATCTTTCATGGAAGATCATGCACATTTTAGGGCATCAATAGGGACTCTTTTGGAATTCCTTGTATTGTTAGACAGGGGCAAAATAGTCATTTTACACCCTTTTTTAGAATTTATTTTAATTCAATTAAATTGTAATTATTATCAATTAGGATACTTTTTGGGCATCCACCCATGTTTGGGCCCAATTCTATAAATACATTCTAAACCTAATTG